CCCAATTCCCCCAACCCATTTGAGGGTAATAGTCAAAAGAGTCAATTCTCCAGAACTCGGGTGTGCTAATGACTCCTGAAGGAGCCACTCGACGGAAATTTTCAATCTTGAGTAATGTTCGTTTTCTTCTTGTACCTAGTTTGAAGATGAAGAACATCATTTCTTATCCTACGGTGTTGATTAATCCGCTTGACCTTCATCATTCCCCAGATTTTCCTGCTGTACTTCATCGCAGGCCTGAAGAAGCTGGACCTGGACTGGGTGTCTGGCTACTCTATGCAGAATATTTCCCACCACTGGGTCTTTGACCCTCTCAAGTAAGTCGTTTCCTGACCTAAGGCCTGCTGAGGTTCTTAATTATTATATTATTATAGATGACAGAGTCGCCCTGTCCGTACTATTGAGATCCCGTAAATTGAATCAGGAGAGCCTTTCAGATGCGGGAGGGGCACGGGTGTTAGGTATAGAGGGCCATTGAAGAGGGGGGGGGGGCTGAGTAAAGTATGGGAAGGGTTGGGGAGAGGGGTAAGGTATAGTAGAGGGAGTGGGGGGGTGTAGAAATGTTGGGTTGCAATCCTTCAAATTTTGAAATTTACTCTATGCGATCATCTAGGCTCAGATACTAAATATATTGCATTTATTTTAGTGCGCTCCCTCAGGGTTCTTTAAATTCCTTCTTTCCTTCTCATTTTTCATGTAACCACAAGACCCATCGCCCACTCTTTGAAAGTATTAAATTATGTCTAGGAGGGCATTAAACTCTGCCAAAAGAACTCAGGGAATAGACAGGCGGGAGAACATTCTCCAGGTGTAGGCTTATCCTGAATTTAACGTTTTTTTAAAACAAGTCTCTGGACGAATAGAAGTCATGAATGGGTTTTTAGCAGCATAGCAATGTTTTAGTTCAAATATACGCCACTTGGTTTATGTAGTGAAATGCAAGCTGATGTTGGCAGAAATGGATGGCATCTGTTTAATAAATAGATTTCACATTGCCCTTAATTTCCGTGTACACCATTTTTCAGCGACTGGTTCCAATTTTCAATCTGCACTTAACTGTGTAATATTTTGCTTTAACATTTTTTAAAAGCCATACTTACATTTTGCTTCACATATCTGTAGGTAAAGAACAAACATAATCCTTTGCTTAGGTTGAGGTTTTATTCGCTGAAGTGAAAAAAATCATAAATGCTTTGAACGTTCTGCTTTTAGTATGTGATTTCGGTTGCTTTAAGAAACTGTTTTTATCCCTGTCATTGAATGAATTGTCTGTTCGTGGTTTGTGGATTAGAGAAATCAAAATGTTTTCTTCAAATGTGAACTAGATGAATCACATGATTGAACAAGCGGTGTCTGTTACAGTCTTATAATCAGTTTTTTGGCTCCCTTTGCCCATTTTGCATCTATCCACACCTGCCCATGCTTACGTTAACCTTTTGCTTAACTTTATGCTTCAATACTCTGTACCCTCCACCCACCCTCGACTCCTGCCCATCCGCCCTCATCCCACCGATACCGCTACACACCCTTTCCCACCCGTGATACCTCCCTCGCCTTTTCCCTGCTACTCCTCAACTCACTCATCCCTCCACACCCGACTCCCTCCACCTCTTGACTCCTTGCTCCAACCTCGTTTTGACCATACG